TCCTTCCCTCCTTCCCTCCTTCCTTCCTTCCTTCCTTCCTTCCTTCCTTCCTTCCTTCCTTCCTTCCTTCCTTCCTTCCTGTCTCCCTCTTCCTTCCATTGCTGCCAGTCCACTTACCCCAATCTTCTGGGGAGATCTCAGAGGCTCCTTCTTAACGAGCCGCAAGTAGAAGGCAGCAGGGAGAATGAAAATCAACATGGTCGCAGAAGAGGCACCTAAAACAAAACTAGATCTGAGCATTGTGCTGTGTAAAGAAACACATCAGTGTGGTGTATGCCGTGGAAAAATAGCATGTAGAGTGCCAGCTGCTATGCTAATTCCACTTGCAGGAAAAGAGATCTGTCTCATATTCGGTATTCTTGCAGGACTGTCTTATATTCACCCAGAACTTGCACAGTTTCACTCCCAGGCTACCAAAAAGTTTCAGTTTGGTCTGTGCCTAGGGAATAATTATAATGGATTTTACAGGGTCTTGTTCAGGTCTGTGATATGTTCTTTTGAGGACCTTTGTGCCCTTCTTCTGCTATGGCCCAGACTCGAGACGGCTCTTTAGGTGTCTATACACCTCTTTGATACAGACAATGTTTTGAAGCTGGTCCTCCAGTCTGCCACCATAGCCCATAACAGAGCCCAGAGTGATAGCTCAGATGTAAAGACTCTGGAGGTGCAAACTGGCTGCCTGCATGGAGTGTAAACTATGAATAAGGCATCAGTGCAAACCTCCATGAGGGTGCCAACCTCAAGGGCATCTCAGTCCCCAAGTCCTCAAGAAGCTCAGAGGACAGAGACTCTGCCCAGTGCCCAGGAGCCAAAGCTGAATGGAAGAAAGAGATGGGGAGAAAACTCAGAATTTCCAAGGCAGCATGTAACTTTTCTGTCTTTTTTAACATTATAGTTTGAAAGTTGATACATTATGCATGGGTTGGAGGTGCCTTCTCCTCCCATTCACAAGATACCTTTTTTTTTTCAAAATGTGAACTCATCATCAGTTTTTATGCTAAATTTGTTAGATTCCTTGTGCCTCATGCAGGCTGGCGGCTAAGCTGGGTAAAATTTAGCTTTGTGTATCACTTATATGGGAATTTTTCTTTCCCTTTTAACTTTTCATATAAAAACTCCAGCTTGTGTTTAAATTACTCCATTCTTAAGGTTGGATCTAAGAAATGTCATTCAGCCCATCACAGAAAGGATTAACATAGTAAATAGAAAATATTTATGAAACCTACCGATAAATCCAAAGATGTCTTTAATAGTGGGGACAAAGATTACAAGCAGGTTATTAAAAGCAAGAATTACTGCTGCAATCAGGAAATGTCTTATCCAGCTGAATGGCCTTTTTGGAAACAGCAATGCACTGATAGATGAACGGATCTGTAAGATGAAAACAGCAATTAATTTATTTTTGTTTTTCACTTTTTAAATGATCTTCTGACTGAAGAAATGTGTTTTCAGCCTTTACTTCCCTTAATGTAATCTCGCTCTGATGAAGGTTTTTGAGAACTACGTTCACAGTTTAATGCAGAAACTCAAATATTTGCAGTGCAGAAGAAAGACAAGTAAATAGGGTGTAAAATCAGGGAGATGAAATCTGTTCAACTGAAAGATGCTAGTATCAGCAAAAAAAAACCCTAAAGAAACCCCCACTATGAATACTAATCAGCAGGCAAAAATGCATGGGTGAAATGTGAGTTGCTGTATTCCTGAACCTGATCCCCTTGAAATTCCCACAAGAGTAGTCATTTTCTTTCATGAGAGAAAGAGCAAGCCTTTGTTTAACTTGTGTTAATACATACATATATGTATGCATATCAAAACAAAAGCATATCTTACAATGCCATTTGGAAATTACATTCTAAAAAGCTATTGAAAAAGATACTTTTTGTTCCACTGATTTTCTCACATAAATACAGGACTCTTGCAGCAAAGAGAGTCAGTAGGAAAAAGGTCAACAGCAAATCCCTTTGGTGGCAGAAGATAGTGTTACGCTGAAGTACTGTGATAAACTTAAAAGTTTTGAAGGATAGGTATTGAATAAAAGTGGTTTTAAACTTAAAAATACCCTCAAAGAACACTTTTGTTTAGTTGTTTGAAAACACCAGACAAGTGGTTCTGGACGAGTTTGTCAATTCAATAAAAGTGTGGAGTTCTGTCAAACTTGGAGCTCATCATCTGAAAACAGAGCATAAATTTTGTATTTTATGTTTTTCTGTCTGAAGTGAGCCAGAGTTGTGAATGAAGAGGGAGGCAGATTGAAAAAATTTAGTTCACTCCTTGAGTGAAACATTTCTAAAGTAAAGAACTGATGCATTCTGTTCCTTCTCTCCTGCTGTCAGCATCTTGTGTATTATTCCTACTGTGATGTTGCCCTTGAAATGAAGTTATCAAACTGAAATTCTACAGTTTGACTTTTGTTATATAAACCAATCTCTAAAAATACTTTTGCAGTGCAATGAATATCTTTTTTTGAAAAAAAAAAGAACTCTGACTATTTAATGAAAACACAAATTTAATAGTTCATTAAAAAACAAAAGTAGTTTGTACAGTTGTGATGCATATTTGGAGTAATTAGATAATCACTAATGCTGAACTGGCTATCGTGATAGGCCATGTCAAATTGTTTGATATGCTGGCTTTAAAATAGGTGATAACTTCTAAGCAATTTTTTTAACAGAGCAGTTAATTCTGTGGTGTGCAACTGCTAAGCTTCTGCATGTTATTCAGGTATAAAAATAATTATACAGAAATATTAATTGAAAATACTACATCTGATTGATGCAGGGTTTTGTAATGCCTTGAAACTGTTTTCACTTGCAAAGTGATCAGTCAGTTGAGACTAATGTAAAAAATTAACCATCTCTTTCAACATCATGTTTAAGGCAAAGCATCAGAAGGTTCTGCAATTCCCTGTGATTGACCACTCTGGATGCTCTATAGCACAGCAGATATTTTTTTTTTTTTTGAAGACAAACTTGAATGGGAATCATTGCTCTTAAGTATTTGTCTATGAGTATGAAAAGAGCACCTCTGCACAGCTTGTTTTTGCATCCTCGAAAACAGAACAACAGGAACCTGCCATTACTGCTCCTGTCAGAGGGTGATGTTAGTGTGACGTGGCTCCCAGGAAACCTGCCAACTGCAGGACGTAGGAGATGCACAGGCCCTACAACATGGCACACCTGCCCCCTGAAATTTGCTGTCGAGGATCAATGCTTTTCTTCCCTGCCGTACAGCAGTGCAGAGAGGGCCAGAGGGACAATGCTTTATGTTCAGGAGTCCAAAGGTCTGCTCTTCGAGGTGGGATTGGTCTGTGAAGAGTGATTTTACTTCACTTTCTGTCCCTGCCACTATGGATGTTGCATTTTTCCCTCTGAACGACACCTAGAAGCTTTGAAATTTGCTTGGGATTCTGATTATGTGGCTGCATCTTGACTACATCCGTCCATACGTGCAGCTCAAGATGTTGGTTTGGGAAGACTCCTGCAGCCCCCTGTGTGGGCACAGGAGCCATACGTGTGCAGCGAAACACCTGAGCAGCCCCAGTTTCACTGCCTGGAGCCAGTCCACAAGCGGGAACACTCAGGAAACCCCCTGAAGTGTAAAATGGCAAGTTCTGTCTTGGAACTATGTGGTCCTTGGATATACAGTGCTGCCTGAGGATAGTCACCACTGCGGCCCTATGCAATGGTAAAACTAAAAATCACAGCTGTTCCTAGAATTTATTCTGCACCATCTGTAACAATTTTTTTATGCATGTCCAAATATCATCACCTAGAATTTTTCACAGTGTGATGTATAAGATTTTTGTAATGATCATTATTTGATCATCTGCTACCTATAATAATTTTTGTGACATCCAACTTAGGCGTTTATAGTACGCAATATTCACAAGGCGTCTGTTTCTCTGACATGATCCCGAGAGAGCCAGGTCTGGCAGCCCTGCGTAGCAGGTGGCTGGAGCTGCATGTTTCCTTCTTGAATTTGGATGCTGTAGTAGGTGCATGTGTCTGTATTGGGAAATCTTGTAAATGGTTTGAGCGTGTTCCCAAGTCCTCCGTACTTGCACCACTGCTCTGTTAAATATAGTACAGATCGGGCCAGAGAGGGACAGGGCAGTTGTTCCTGAGAGCTGATTTATTTCAGGCTTTCAGAAATTTGCAACCCTACCTATCTCAGATCCTTGCTTCAGGCAAATTATGTATGAGACCTTCCCAAAGCAAAGCTCAGGCTTTTCTTAAATGTTAAGGACTGTGTGTGCAAATTTTACAGCCGCTAACCACAGCCATCGTGTACAGGCTAGCCCAGATTTCAGCTTCATCCACACTGTTACTTACAGGGAAAAGGACAAGGGGCACAGTCAGGGTTACAGCCACCAGCACTGCGAGGCGAACTGTCAGGAGGAGCGTGTCAAAAGTGTACACTTTCGTGTACGTATGAAGTAACTCATCTTCAACTTCTCCTACGGAGGGAAACAGAGAGGATTTAAATTACTCAAGCAGAAACTGCACATGCAAAAGGCAGATCTTTATACTGCGGTGAGATAAGATTAGCTCTGGCCCAGCTGCTGTCATTAGATACACGTTATGGGCTAGGCATGAAAGAGGCATTTTCCCAGCACAACTGGTGCAAGTCCAGCATCCACAGATGACTTTGGTAATACAGCTCTGAGGAGGTGCTTTGTCTTCAAGGATCTCAAATGACTTTCTCAAAGCCATTAAATAGATGTGAAAACAGGCAAAATAATATCTTTGCTATTGAAATAGAAAATACCTTGCTGAACTGGGCATAGATCTCTTAACTTCCACACAAGGCTTCCAGCTTTCAGACAAAGGGCCCCTGCCACAGCAATAGATTAGATATTATGCTGTATCATTCAATTCTGTGCTGCAATGGAGGAACTAACAAAGCAAAAGGAGGTGGTGTTTGTATAAAACTGCACCAATATAGGGAATACTCTGTTTACCTACTAGTTAGGCCAGCTCATAGATATATTTTTTTCACACTAGAATGATTTGCACCATAGGTGAAGCTGAATTAGTGGTGTCAGAGGTAGGGCAGATAGCATTTAATTGTGTCATGCAAAGCTCTTGAGTGCCAGAATATTTTTAGTACTGTCTTGGCCTTGCTCAAGAGCCAAGCTTACAGTAGCTTGAGTTCACAAAATCAAGAGATAAAACAGCTGGTCCCCCTGGTAGATACTGCTGAATCTCTGCAGCTGAGAAACTTGTGGCCTGGCAGCTGGATGTGTCTCACAACCTACTCAGGATGTTACACACTGGGTGTTGTTTTTGAATAATTTGTTTGCATGTATTCATGCCCACCAGAAGCAGAGGGACACCTGATCCTGAGTGTGAAAACTCCTTCTCTCCAGCTTTAAAGTTAGGAGGGAAATTCTGCAGAGAACTGGACCTTGACCTACCATAGAAGGTAAGGTATCCAAAGAGAGCAGCCAGAAGATACATGACAAGCATGCCGGTGATGGAGATATTTGAGACATTCTGCATCCTCTTTCGGGAACGGCTGAAGTAGGAGAGAAAGACAGTAACAGTCCTATTGCAAAGCCTCTATTTGTACATGATACACTCTGAAAGTACTGGCATCACCTTGCTGGTTGGTGAATTCGTAGCCGTTATGTTACTTATACAGGGCTCTTCAGTTCAAGCTTCACAGCTCTGAGCAGGACGGGACAGATTTATTAAAGTGTACGGAAACTTTATTTTTACTGTTTACTTAGTAAAATGTAAACACATCATGTTATTCTGTATGTCATTATTTAAACACTAGCACTCTCAAACTGTGTTTTTTAATTAAAAAATGGAGGAGCTAAAATTACAGGGGCTTGTGATAATAATGAGACAAGAACTTTGATTTGGCTCTATCTGAATATTCTTATATCAACAAAGAACTGTTCTAAAGGTTCTAGAACTTCTTTAAGGTCAAATCTCTTCTACAGAGAAGAATTCTTTGGTTAAAAATGTGCCTTAAGAAAATCTTCAGTTTATGTGGGGTGGAAGCAGGTTTCCAAGTCATCTGGGATCTTTGATTTCCTCTGAGGTTAAACTAACATAGTAGGTAATGGGGCTTGGTTTTCCTGAGTTTTTCTGCACAACCTCCTGTAATTAATTAATCAATTAATGTTGAGCAGATGCATTTTTTAATTCCCAAATGACAGCTCTGTGCCAGCTTAAGCACTATTTTATTTTTGATATTGAATAAGCAAAATGGGCTGGGTTAAGAGCACATGTAAGACACCCAAACCAGTGGCATCCCAGAAAACTAAGAGTAAGCAACAGCTGATCTGGATCCAGAACTCATTAAGATATTTTTAGAAATCAGAATTCTCTATTTCAGTGTTATATGTTGTGCAACCAAGTTCCTCACTGTTTTTGTTTCACATTGCTCATAGGATTATCCAGATTGCAGCTTTCCTAAATGTCATCCAATGTGGATCATTGAACAGTGATTCTCTGTCACCAATATAAGACTACTAGGTCAAAGCAAAGGCAGTTTCTGCTTATTCTGGAATGCAATAAATCATTAATGGATGTGTGTCTCCATATCAACTGTCAAGGCAAAATGCCTAGAGGGTGGTCCCCTGGGTAACTGGAAGTATAGAACAAAATTATAGAATCTTACTCTTTCAGTTCACTGTATATCGGTAGCACCTCAGGGTGGCACACGAATGCAAATGCCAGGATGGGTATTGCATACGCAGTCTGTAAAATAAAGCTTCCATTAGTAAGAATGATCCCTGTTTTATCTCTGACTTTTGGCAGGCAGCGGTTTAGTGATGGTATGAATGGCTAAAGTTAATTCAACAGAATCTCCCTTACCCGTGAATTGAACACAAAGTATTTGGGCTGACACATGTCATTGCTGTCACTGTGTGCTTCAAATTCCACGCCACTCTTAGGGAAGGTGTCTCTTGGCTCCTCAAGGCCTGGCATGTGCCCAACTGTGTTGTCCATCATGAAATTCACCTCAGAATTGAGAGAATCATTGGGTAGCATGACAAGGTGCATTGGCACAGTGTTGTTGATGGCGGTCCAGTTCCCAGCCCCATGTTCCATGACAGGGAGAGGACAGGGGATTTGGAATTTCTTGTAGATTACCTGCAATAAGAATAGACAGTGTGATCTCAAGTATACACTCCTATCTCAACAATAGGAGATGCATGCTGACACCTGCTTCTGTTAGCAGTAACATGAGAATTTTTTATCAGCACAGCCAAATACAATTACACTTCCTGAACCATGAATTTAGCCATGCTCCACAATGTCTTGTTTCTAAAATTACTTTTTCAAGGAAACGAGGCTTTATATCATGAAGCTGTGTATATCTGTATCTGATAGATCCTCTCTAATAACTTTTGAGCCCATTGAGTAATTTCAACCAAATCTGACAGAAATATTCTGTTCTTCAACATATTCAGGTCTCTCATGCTCTCTGAAAACAGATGACTGGGTACAAGGAAACCCTATGAAAGCCTGCACGGACATGCAGGCTAGGATTATCATCTTTGATAAGCCAAAAGAAATACAAGCAGAAACATTGAAAAGGCAGGGTAAAGAGAGCAAGAAACCAAAAGCCATTACTTCTCCTATTCCTGGAAGTATGTGTTACCTGCTTCTGCTCTTTTCCCACTTTACATTTTATCCTTTCAAGTGCGTTTTTTAGCTTTTTTTTTTTTTTTAATATGTTTTTGTTCTGCACTTGGGTAATTGATTTGATTCACCTGCAGGTGGTCTCCTAACATCTACCTCAAATTGTCCTATCAAGGAGTTTAATGGTGGTGAACAGTGTACAGACTCTGTATTAGCATACACACATATCCTGAACAATCACTTACCACACTGACAAAGAAAACCATACAGCTCAGTGAAAAACCACTTGTATAACCAAGATAACCTGTGAAGTAAGAGAGAGAAAGAAAGAGAAACAGATTAGGCACATACAAATTCACAAGTCTAACTGAAATAAGAAATGAGGTTAAGCAGGGCATTAACCTTACCTAAACTCTTTAGAAGGGAGAGGGGAAGAATAATTCCAACTGTTACAAATATGACGAGGTAGTTCCCATTTAAGTACCATTCTCTGAAGAGAGGAAATTAAAAAAAAGTAAAAAATTCCTCTTAACATTTAAGTAAAAAACTTTTATCTAAGGTTGAGGTTGGGCAAAGATACCTACCCAGAATTCTCCTCAAGTTTCAAAAATGCTCTGATCACTTCAGGGAGTTCATACTTAATAATAAAGAGGTAGCTTGACATTGCTGTAAAAAATGAAAAAACATCTTTAGAGGAAAAAATAAAGTTCAAAAAAACCAATTGTTATACACAGCAATAATACTTTATGAAAAGCACACTATTTTGTGAATCAGTAGAAATAGAGACTAGAGAAATTGTTTAAATGGGAGGGTGAGTAAAGAGATGGTATGTTCTTTTGTTGTTGTTCTGCTTTTAAAGTGTACTGAATGACATCCAGCATTCAGCCTTGTATTCATCCCTATATTCATCTAGCATTGTATTTAGAATACAATATAGTTATTATTGAATTAATAACATATTCAAATCACTGTTATGGTGGAATTTACATTCCAAATGTAAATTTACATTGTTCCATTTGCCTTGCTATTCCAAATGTTGGGGTTTTTTTTCCAATGGGCACTGTGTGTCTACTTTTTTATTAGCATTGTTAACATTGCTTGTCACTGCCTCTAAATCTCTTGTCCCTCTTGCTCCTTCTATTTCCAACTTTTTTTTGTTTTTATACTTTACTTCATGGATTTAAAAGATTAATTGATATAGAAGATTAATCATGATTCCTGATGGAAAGGTAGATCTATATTTTTCTCATTTGAAACTACTGACAGGAGGCATGTTTACTTTAACCAGAAAGAGGTCTCTGGAAACCTATGGATCAGTGTTAAACAACAGGCTGAAAATCACTGAACTAGAGGATAATCTATTCCTCTGTACCAGAGAGGCGTAATTCCTCCTGAATTCAACCACATCTGACACCCAGGTTTGTGAAAACCAAATATTGAAGAGTCTTTCTTCTACAGAGAAGTCATAACCCTGTGATGTGCTTTTGTGCTTCCTCCTTTTAGGTGAGATTCACCTTTCCTAACCTCTGGTAGATGCCTTATCAATTAAAAAATAATGGCCAATCCGTAGATTGGTCTCATTAGATAGAGACATCCAAGACATTTTAGCCATTTTCAGAGTCTCTTCATGGGTTGTGGTGAGATCTCAGGGATCTAGCATTGATTGGCTGCCAAAGATAAATTCCTCCTGTCCTTCCTTACTACAATACTAGTGAAAAGCATGGGCTGTGCCTTGCTCATCTCTAATGCCATGTAGGCAGAAAGCACTGGTATTCTGTAGTACAACTAGAAGCTGGAAAACGTTTTTTTTTTTGTTTTTTTTTTTTTTTTTTTAAGAATTTTTCCCCTTACCTCCAATATTCTGCATTGTAACAGAAATAAAAACACCACATTTTCCAAGCCATCCAAATGCTTTTTCTCCCAGCTTTTCATATATTAATGAGCCTAAGAAAAACAAAGCAAAACCAACAAAATAAATATGGGCCACTACCCTGGATGCACTTGATGAATTGCATTCCAAGGAAAACATGTGAAAGTAATATGAACTTTTAGTTAGCCATAATCTAATCCTCATACCTCCTTCTTTTGATATCTTCAGTAAGAGGTGGACGGAGTAGAGTGACAATATTGCTACACTGAGCAGCAGAACTCTGCAAGGCAAAGCAGAAATCAGAATTCCAAACAGGACATCAAAGACACTCAGTTAATTTGTATGAACACAATTTATGCTTGCTTGTCCTTCTGAAGTTCAATGTGTAAATAGGTCTCAGCAAGTTTATTCTTTGGACCTGTGGTACAAAATGCAGAGATAAGTGTCAACTTGTAGCTTACCATTGGCTGCACTTGGACCTTATGCACCCCCAAAAAAGTCCCTCGGAGCTTGTTCAAATACGGGTGGGTGCCAATTCCATGTTACTCAACAGAGCTGCTCATCGTAACAAGCTGAATTAAGCAGATCTCTATGCAAAAGTCAGGTATTTGGTCTCCTGCTTGCTCCCTCACGTGTCGTTACAACCTCTCTTATTACACAGATCTGTGTCCCCCAATGCTGCCTCCCTTCACCTTCTCCCCATCCCCCCCCCAAAAAAAAAGAAGAAAAAAAGGAATTGAAACAACTTCACTGCCAACTCTTGTCCAGTCAGTACCTTTGAAAATCAGGTCATTTTACTGTGTAAATATAAGATTTTGGAATTTAACCTGATACACTCTTTGGAAAGTACAGGAAAAAATATTGCATAATGCTGAATTACATGACACTGGAAAACTTGTTTTCAGAGATTTTGCAGCACTCTTTTCCAGCCTAGTCTGCTTGAAGGTATTAGTGCCTATATTTATTAATTATGATTATTGCCCTGTTACTTCCACGTAAGATTTGCACTCTATGATGTGATGCCAGGTATCAGACTCTGGTAAAAAATGTATCTTAATATGATATTTTCAAGCCACAATACCATGGGAAGCATATTTTATTACCATAACTATCTGTTTTTAGCCCGCACAAGTAGTGGTGGAGAAAATACCTAATCTGTTTACTGATGTCCCTTAGTCAGTGGCTGAACAGGAAGTTCTGCCCCCTGTGCTTCCCTTTCACCGAAGATGAAGTTCAATGTAGGTAGTGACACTGATAACGGGCTCTCTAAGCAAGCTATAGTCTAAGAGCTGTAGTGATACTGGTTTAGGGGCCGCATGGTCACCACCAGACCATCACAGGTTTAAGGTGCTTTCTCCACGAGAGACAAACGGAGCTGTAGACTTCATGTGAAGGGGGCTGTGCCTCCTTCTGTGGTCAGAACGCACATAGCAGAGAGGATGTGATGTGGGTTCAGATTGCAGCCACAGTTTGTGGCTCAAGTCTCATGGCTGAGACTGCAGTGTATCAAATGGCAGCCGTCTTGACAAAGGGCACCCATGTAGGTGCTATTCAGAGACACGGCTTCCATGCCCTGGTGTGTGAAGTGCAGCTTTGCAAACTAGAGACATTCCGGTTGCACCTGCTGAGTTGTGACAGGCAACAGAGTAGGCCCCAGTGCGTGCTCCATGCAATTCCAGACCTCTCCCATGGGAGGGGAGAAGCTAAAAGGAACTCCTGGAGTCTCATGAGCTTTAGGAGCCCTCATCCCAATTTCACTCTGTAGAAAATCTTTCAGTATGAGAATACATGGGTAACATGAGAACAATAAATCATCTGCTGCCAGCACAGTCTGAATTAAAATTAACGTACAACAGTTTCTATTTAATAGGTGGAATTTTTCTATCCCACAAATGCTTATGTCACGATCTGTAAAAACAGATGAACTTCCAGCAAGTAGATGCATGCCATCCGGGTAACAATATCCCCACATAGTTCTGTTCTTTTAAATAAAACTCCTTCCTCTACCAACAGGGAGAATGTTCTCATGCACAAAGTATGAAAGTAAGAAAAGAAAATGAGATGCAGGTCCATTGTTTTTTGCTATATATAACTCCATAGTGTTGCACTGGCATTACTCAATGCTAAGGCTTGCGTTCTGCTTAGCAATGCCAACAGAACTAATGTAACTTGGCTTGCATCGGATTTTTTTTCAGCCATCCTTGTGAATGCATAAAGCCTTAAAAATAGAAATGTTACAGTGAGAGAGTTTTGTGCATTTTGTTGTTGGTGGTGGTTTTTTTTTTTTCTAGGGAATCTTGATATGACTTTCTTTCAGTGGTTCAGAAATGATGACTTTCTTTCCAGTGGTATAATTTATGGCTGCATTAATTGGTACATGTTTATGGAGAAAATAAGGTTCTTAAACTAAGTTGCGGAAAGAAATCTTGGTTTTTCAGTTTCTAATGCCATCTAATGCCACAATTTTAAAACTAGGTTCCATTTTTGTATATGTAAATATTACCTCTAAACCATTCAACTGTGGGTGCTGAGAAGTACTTATCTCAGAGAGTGGCAGCATTTGCATCTACAATTAATTTTCAGTTACAAACTCTCCTGGGAAAATAGGAGGTGTTTCTTAGCAACTGGAAGCTACACATAGAATTTCAAGTGCTGTTGCTGTTCTAGTTATACAACCTCCAAAAGTATACATTCCTATGAGGATAGCATTGCTACCTGATTTAAAGATTTCTCAGATTTAAAAACAATGATCTAGTGCTATACACTATTCAAGTCTCAAGAAGGAAGGCTCCTGTCAAGTTGAAAGCCAATTGTTAAAGGGGAACAATTTAGCTGTACATTCCCTCTTGTCTGACTCATGTGAAGCTAGCTGTAGATTAAAAAGACTGCACATGGCTATCTGCTGCTGTCAATCAAAACCCATCCTCTATAGATGCTGTATATCAATTACATACCATAGTTGTCTGTGATAGTATATTGAGCACAAATAGACCTGAGGGAGTGGTTATCATTAAATCTGAATAGATCTGTGACTGCCTTTCTAGTCAAAACATACTATGGTTTTGGACTTGCCTTGAATATTCTTCTTTCATTTCCTCATAGTGATTGCATAGTTAGAATGGAGTAAATATATTCTTTATGGGTGATTTATTGCCCCTGTATAATTCCCATACTGAACCAGCAAGATTTCTCTTGTTATTTTAGGATCAATATACTTGTTCTTTCCCTTTGAGTTTTGATTGGACAATATCAAATCATATCTGTATTCCCCTGATAAAAAACAGGTCTAAAAATTAAAAAAAAAAAAGTTTTGTCAGCAGTGGATGATTTCTTGCGGTGCAACTAAAATGTTTTCCTTACAAGAGATCTTAAAACACTTTTCAGATAGCAAAACATGGGTTCTTAAGCTAACTTACCTCTCCAACTGCAAGAGCCAAGAGCTCAGTGCTGCTGTTCTACTCACATTTTATCGGCATACTTACACAAAAAGGATGATTCCAGTGTTGGCCATGGCATAAGACAGCCCCAGGATACCGCTGCCCATGATGGCATTGCTCAGGTTAAAGGATGACATCCCAAAGGAAGCTGTTCCCCTGTGCTGTTGGGAGCAGTAACACCAAATGTTGGTTAACCTGTGCTTTGCTGAGCACAACACACTCATTCTTACTGCTTATAGTGGTTCCTGAGCCCACACTCACTTAAGAAGTCCATTTTGCCCCCAAAGCCTGCGGTGTGACATGTGTATGTGGTGTTTCCCTCCAGCTCTCTGTGCAAGGGAGAGCTCTGCAAGGAGGATGGCCACATCCCCAATGGCCAGTGGAGATGACACTGCCAGAACTGACTGCATTAGCCCGCAGCAGAGAGAAAAGCTTTTATCTAACAGGTTTCCCAGATTTGGAGAAAAAGTAGTTTAATAGATTCAAATGATTTTTAAAATGAATCCAACTGGTTATTGAATTTTATCCTAGTAGGATGTGCCTCTTCCTCTGCAGCACTAAACATGCATCTTAGGATGCTGGCAGAGAAGAAAGCACTGTGTGGCTGGGGGGCCCACTAGAGGGAGAGTGGGAGAGGATCAAAATCTAGGAGATGGGGGGGACTCTGACACCAGCTGGGAAGGGAAGAGAAGGGGAGAAATACAGCTGTTAATTTTAGTTGAAATTACAAAGAGTGATTTTCTCTTTTATTGAATTATTTTATTTGAACCATCCTAATAAATCCAGTAGCATATTAAATAAAATATTTGTCATCAAATTCAGTATAACTTTGAATAAAGTTAAGCCTGAGCAGCCAGATACATAAATATATACATATATACATGCAGTTTACCTCTCTGAGCATGATGCTGCAGAGAGTTTGAGGAGTGCTCGAACTGTAATGCTCAGCATTTTAAAGCCAAACATAAATATAGCAATGCAACTGGATATAAATCAGGAAACAATACAAGTGCACATGCATTAAGACCTAAAACTATTTTGAAATGGATGTTTAAAGCATATTTCTTTTGTTCTATGTTTAAAGGAGTGGTTTTTTTTAATCAGAAATTCGTTTTTCCATGTCTTCTAAGTTTGAATGCAAGACTTAAGACTCCAACCTGAATTCTTTCTCTTCTTGTGAGAGCAGTAACAAAGTATACTTGTTACTATATATATCTTCCATCAGAAATACCTGAGCACACCCACCCTTAGCTGAACATCTTGGGTGAGATGTGGACCACAATATGACCTGAGGAATCTTCATGCCTGCTTGTGAAAGAAAAGCCCGTTCGTACTTGCCAGATAGCAGAAAGAGTTTGCAGCACTAACTGCTAGGAAAGCCAAGATTACACTGACCAAACTCTAAAGTAACTTTGTTTATGAAAAGTTCTATAAAAAGATCTAGGTCAATAAGTCTTATTTTGTGATAATCCTTAAAAATGAATAAAACTTACATATTCCTCACTATATTCTTCCAATTTCTTTTTACCCAGATATCCATTTGTAAGGAACTTCTGACTTTCTGCATCATCACTAGCAAATGGACTGAACACAAAGAAAAATGAGAAAACATTAGATAAGGCTTATGTTCAACCAGAGCTCTTTGACATTAGCAGAAACTTTGGCAGTAAGGTGAGTAGTAAAAGTCCTTTGTCAAAAAAATCCCCTCTTTTCTCCTTCAAGAGACTCATTCCCAATTGCATGTTTAATGGATCTTTGCATTTCCTTAAAAATCTCTTTTAAAATTAGCAACTTTCAAGTCATATTTGACTGTGGAAGTTGGAGTGTACCAGTTCTGACTTGTAGTGGACTCACCTGAGTTTGTTCTTCAAATCCAGGTAGCCCAGAGCCTTGCAACTGCCCTACACTGAGGTCTTGGCAGGCTCAGGGCTGGGGGCCAATGGATGGTCTGGAGATCTTTCTCTCAGGTCATCCAAATGCTGGATCTGTGGGGGCTCCCTGGGCAGTTCCAGTGGGAACATTTAGCTGCTGTCCTCCATACCCTGCCCCAGAAAGCTCCCACGAGGCAGGAGCACAGCATGTGCATGCTCGTGTTACACTGCCCTGTTGACATATTATTTCCATATATACTATGTGCCTGGAAATGTCCAAATGGATGCCCAAAGCTGGGAGCCTGCAAAGGTCACTCCAGGCAATGAAAGGCAACACGAACCTGGGATGTCCCTGCTATGTGCGACACCATTCATCAGGGCACGGGGCAGGCAGAGTTGTGCGCTGTAGGAAAACAGCAGCTAAGCTATCAGACCACTTTCATGTGGTTGCCTATGAAACATTTTGAGTCCAAGATGCCAATAGTGATGCTGTTTTCTCTGCTTGCTGTTTTGCAGTCCTAACGGAGCAGCCTTCCCAATGAAACACTTACCTCCTAATGACAGCAGCCTTTTCTGACTCGGCCATCTCCGTGTAGCTGTCTTCGAGGCTTTCCCCGCTGTTGCTCTGGTCATCAAGTTCGATGTTGACTTTTTGCAGCTCCATGCGATCCATTTGAACGGTCAGCGCTTTCCAGTGCACACACTAGCTTCTTTAGGGTAAACAGCACTGAGCCTGCTGCTTGCGAGTTTGCTTTACCATGTGGTGGCTGCCAGAACACTCTGTTCTGCAAACAAAACACAAAAGAACTCATTAGAATTTCCCCCAAATTAGATAAATGTGTGTGAATCGTTTGGTTTGTGTTTGTTCTTTGTAATAGCATTAAGAGAGGAAACTGTCTTGGACTGGGCGAATTCTACACGAGCATAATGTGCCTTTATATACCAGCCCTCGTCCCCTCTGTCTTCCTCAAAATGGGAGAAGAATGCAGTGACCACATTCACAGTGCATGGCCAGTATGTGATGAAATAACAAAACCAGAAGAAAATATTTTTTTGATCTGCTGTTTTTGAATCACAGGGGGATGGCAGTGCAGAGAAGCTCACCACATTAGAAATGGAGAGAGTATATATAGATACTCTTAAAGGTAATGCTCAGTGTTTTGAATCATTGGTTATAAGATCAATATTGTTACCAGTTTAAATGTTTTTGGTAATTTGTCCCTTTTGTTGGGATCTAGCAAAGGAGAAGAGTATCTCTGCATTGTCGCCTTTTTAATAACTAAAAGTTGTCATTCTGTTACGGCAGTATATTGGTGCTTAATGTTCATCATTCTCTGCAACCAGATCTGCCTCACACACATAAGACTTAATACCCTTGTTAAAAAAAAAATACTGTCATTTAAAAAATCATATGGATAAATGCTCCTCATTCTATTTCTGTATGGACCAAAGGAAAATGTACAGAGCAAGTTTAAAGAGAGGACTTTGCCTCCAGCATTTACAGCAGTTTCTTGTTACAAGCTCAACTGTAGATACACATTTGCACCCATTTCCTTATTTCCCATGCTTGATAAGAAAACACCATGCAAGTAATATAAGTAAAATACCGATTTACAGTACTTTTCCTTTCTGAAAGATATTCCTTGAGAAATCTCAGCATTGCTCTTCCACAGACGAGGAGACAAAGACACAGCAGTGAAAGGAGTGAGCACAAATCAGAAAGACCCAGGGCCAGAACTTCTGCTCCTGGTGCTTCAACCCTTACTTTTCAGTCAGGCACACTGGCTGAATCCTTTATTATTTTCATAAATATCATATGCAAAATGCAGACCAGCACTGCATAATAACAATATCAGACAACAGTGAAACAAATAACTCCTATGTCTGCTTTTCTGTAACGCTAAACCTGCAATTATTTAATAGCCTTCCTCCCGGTATTGAATTTATGGACGCATCTGTCCTCTCAGTGAGAAGACTTTCAAAATCCGCTGCTGATGATTGCATGCTATTCCTAAGAGAATCTACAAACTTATTTATAGTGGCAAAATGTTAGAGCACGTGTGCTTAAAATGTAAATGTAAACTTTAAATATCAAACCTGGAAGCTAGAACTGAGCACAGGTCAAAAACTAAAGTCAACTTATAGCTTCTCACTGAGAGCATTCACTAAATTGAACAACTGAAAAGGAAAAAAAAGGTCAGAGTGTATTAGGCAGTTTCCTACCAGAGAGAGCAGCTCTGTTTATTCCTTTCTGCTGCCACCCCAGGACTGTGACTGAGACTGATCACTGACTCCAGCATTAGGTCAGAGCTACTAGCAGCCTTGCATTCCTGGGACCTGATGCTCCTTCCCACTCCGGATAGGAATAACTCCAGGAGACAAAATAATTAGAAAATCTGAACCCTCAAAACTCTGGTTTTGTTCATAGGACTGGCTTTGAACACAGATGTTGTCCTATCTGAGGAGCAGACCAAATTGCTTATTTTTAATCTGTTGTGTAAGATTCAGGCAAATAATTCTAGACTATGTTTAGCCCTATTCTGAAATAATTTTAAATCTCCAATATTCACATTAGCTAATGCTTGCGGGAGAAATATCTTTTCCAGATGTGGCAGTCCAAAAAGTACAGATCTTCAAAGAGTTGAAGAACAGAGAAAAAGTCAGCAAACAAGTTGCCAGGAGTTAAGTTACATAGCAATTACACTAAGAAAAAAAAAATCTGGAGAGTACAGCAAACACTGAAAAGGAGGGTAAAAATTGCCCAGAATCCTGCATCACAGTGTAAGGATCATTTTGGACATTGTCCTATCAAACATTTACACAAGTGAGTCATGTGACTTATGGGAGTCATCCCAAGAGGCTGCAGAGTCGCTGCATAAACAGTGCTTTGCTTTTTTTCTTTTCAATTTGTGAATTCACAGAAATTTTGAGCGGAAGGTTCACACTTGTGGTTGACAAAATTAAATCTCTTGAGAAAAGACGAGCAGGCTCTTTATAGGTAGCAGATGATAGAGCTCAAGGGTCTGCAGACCTTGAGATGAAAACATAAATGGCAGAAATGTGGGCAGGATCAAACTCATGAGACACTCAGAGCTGGAGTTAGGTTCAAATATTGTAAACATTGTTAACTTGAACATTATTTATAGCCATCACTTTGACCTTCAGCAGAACTTGGATAAACTGGTCCTTAGCTGGTGGAAATCCATTCCTTCAGGTTCTTAGCATTGTAAATACTGGCAAGTGCCTGGGAAGATGTTGAAATCAGGTATTCGGGTGTATTAGTAGCATGTGCTCCCTGAAAGTACTTCAAGGGGCATAGCTGCATAGAAGGTCACAGTCTACATCTTGGCACATGGACTGCATGAGCAACATAGGAGATCTACACTCATTTAACCCTTTTATTTTCTCTTCTTGTGTATTTACTCACATGTTACACCACACAAATGCTGAAAAAGTCTAGAAAGAGTCCATGGCATCTCTGTTGTGAACTCAAAGCCCTTGGGATGAGGGCCCATACGACCAACCATCAGTGGCATAGTCCTCTATATCTCTCACTCCAGCTCTGTGAACTTTGAGGCAATGACCAGGTACGACATATAAAGCATACAATAGACATGCATACAGTGCACATACATACAGTAAAGGGCACCACTACCCCTTTAAGTGATTGCTCAGCCCAAGGAGAATAGGGAAGAGTCCTACATTTTGCGTATCTTCCCCAATGGTGAGACATCATTTATAAACAAAGAATGCTCTAGGTGGTTATGTTTAGAAGAAAATGCTGTGTCCAGTTGCATCTTGCACCCTGTCGGAGGCTGCAACATGACGGGTACCAGAATAACCCACCTTGGAGATTTGCCTGGTGGCCCCACCAGCTGCTCCAAGCCTCTATAGCGACCTATGCTACACATGAGTGACAGTCCTGCACCCTTGCAGAAGCATAACCAACTATTCTATGGGGATTTTAGAGTAAAACACTGAAATATATTAACTGAGATTTCCTGCTTTCCGGTTCAGAATTCCGGATTTGAGTCTCCAAATCCTATTTTGGGCATCTAAACCCACTGACTGACGTCCTTTCCGCCTAAAGGACTTTTGAAAGTCTAACATAAAGGAGAAGCTGTTGACTTCTATTCCCTTTCCTTTAGTTAACATCAACACTATTTTTCAATTGTGTTTAGATTGAAGAAAAATCTGTTAGATTTATAGATATTCCTTGAACTTGGCTTCAATGAGGTGATGCTTTTGCTGCCTCTTGCGGCATTTGGCTGAACAAAAGAGATATTTTTTTAAAATACAGCATTAAAATGGAAATACTGGCTGCACAAAACATTCAACTGTTGTCTGAGGAAAGTTATGCCCGTAAACCTATTTTCCCCTTAAATTATAGGGTAGAGTTCTGTATAAACATTTATGGAATAATGTTTTTCAGAAATAATTCAGAAAACTCTTGGCATATGATCTCACAATTTTACTAACTTCTTTCCAGCCTGCAGTGCAGCTAGGATATTAAAGAATGGACAACGTCAGACAGGCAAGTAATCCTGGATCGCAGATATGACTTTTTAAAAAAAAAAATCAATATTTTTAAGATCCATCTGAATCACCTGATTCTTTATCTGTGTTACAGTGAGTTTACAAGATTATAGTCTGCATAGGTATTTTCAAAATGAAAGAAGTGTTATCACTATGAAATAAACAATTAAAATATAAAGGCTTCTTTCACAAGTTCACTTAGAAGACTTCTTTCTCAACTGTGTTAGCAGCTAAATCACAAGTCTCAATAAAAATCCTCAGAAGTTAGCCAAGAGCTCCCAAACAAAGTGAGGATAGTATTTCTTAACTGTTTGGTTGCTTTTAAACATCTCCTGCTACTTCTGTAGTTGCTTAGATTTTGGTTTTTTTTGCACAAAATAGACTGAATATCATGTAAAGTAAAGTAAAACAAATATGCTCTCCAACATAAATTGTCATGACAGTAAATCTTAAGGGCCACATCAATCGCGTATTTATTTTTGTAGCCTAATTACATTCTTGAAACTTTTTTTTTTTTAATTTTCAGTTTAAAAAATATGGAAAATGTCTGAAATAAACTGATTAGATGTTGTAAAGAAAAGTTTTAGACTTACCTCTGAGACAAATAGGTTCTTGTGCTTGCTTGCTTGCTTCCTTGCTTGCTTAGCAGGATATATCTTTTAGGAATTGCACCTGTAATGAAAAGTTTGCTCCTGTGCAACCTAGAGCTGTTGGACAGTGATTTAAAGACAAATGGGAGTGTATCAGATGAACCAATCAAGAGCTGCTACACCCCAACAACTCCCTTTGACAAACTTGCGTCAGCTCTTTTTAAAAAAAGGGAGAAAAAAAAGAAGAAAGGTAAATCAGTTTATTGGAGCACACTGAGGGCAAACATCTCAGTTACCAGAGCTATTTGCTCTCTGAGCTGCACACTGTTACAAAATTCAAATCTGCAGAATGCTTCCTAGGCTTGATCAGGCTTTCATTTCATAATGTTTTTTGAAAGATATGTAAGCATGTACTAAACTTTCATTAGCAAAGTAGTAGTAAACCTTAAAAATAAGGCTGGGATAAGTAGCTAAGAGGTTTTGCAGTTTTCTCTCTCTGCTCCTAATATGCATCTTGAAATTGCAGGGAAGTCCGCCCAGGCAGGGCGGATCGGAAGTGCATACTTTCAAACATGCCGGTTGACCTGTGCCTTAGTTTCCCAGTTGAAATATTTACCATAACTGTGATTGCAGAGGGCTGGCCTGTATGTCAAGTGACAAATGCTATTGCTTTAACCTCACTGTGGAAGAGCTTCACTATCTTTAATGTATTGGATGTATTTGAGAATTTATATCCTTTCAGCCAAATACCTGAAGGCCATCATTAAAAAATAGCCCCTCCAGTCCTCCCTCCCAAGTTGGCGTTGTGATCAAAACACCTGGGCTGGCACAGCTGAGAGAGCAGAAGGGCAAGTAGATGGCTCAATCCCCCTTGTTTCCTACAGCGTGCTTCAGGCTGTTTTAATGGAGCTGGAGGACAACACGTGAGACCCTAACCCTGCTGTAGGGCAGTGCTGGGCATGTCCCAATGCAGGGTTTCTCTTGCAGGAGGGCTTGGCTCAGAGCCGTCGTGGTTGGGCCTGCCCCCACACTCATGCAATGTGTTGGCCATGGCCTAGATACCCTGCCTGGGGGAACCTGGGTGCAAACACCCTGTCTCCTGACACCTCGCTGTGTCTGCTTTTATGCTTGTGCAGTGTGCCCTTCTACCTCTGGATTTCTTCCACCCCGCAAAAATCTTAGACTCACATATAGTTTCAAGAAAATTAGCTCCATCTCCTTCAGCTGCACATGCTATGGCTATTGACTACAAAGGCAGTCATGAAAATCAAAACTAAACCCAACTAAACCCAACTGTACAAGTAGTGGAGCCTTATGAAGAGACACAAGGTTTGGAGGAAGAGATACCATGTCACATTACATCTATTAAAATAGTTGAGAAAACAGGCAAATTTCTAGGCTTAGACTTGTTGAAAGGAGTTGGAACTTAGAAGTTCCATATTTTCCATTACATCAGCTGATCAAATGAGGAATATACTCTCTTCCTATAAAGCGTACAACACAGAGCATGTCTTTAATGAATTAATGTAGTTCTTAATCACTTGAAAGAATCATGTTTTGGCACAAAAAATATTCTCCAAGATTTCTACAAGTGTGATGACTGCGAATGCCGAACGGGCTGGGGGAAGGAAGCCCAGCACTGCTTTGCAGTTTGTTTGTTTTGTGCACTTGACAGAGCTGTGGGTATAGGCAGTTTCCTCATTGCCCCGTTGTTCTCGTGTATGTCTCATGTAACAACAGGGGAGAGAAAAACATTTCTTTAAACAAATGAAAATATGATTGTAAACCATAAAACAAGCAGCAGGGGGGTTTCAGGACAGATGTACTAACAAACCAGTAACAGCTGTAAAAATTACTTTTCATGTATCTTTTGAACCTGATTAAAAAAAATAGGATTACTGCTTACTTCCTTTTCAAATACCACAGATACCAATATCTGCATTTGATACCCAGAGTCTAAGTAGCATGCCACAGTTTTCTCTGTAGCCACGTTGTAACTCTTGGGTTGATTTAAGTCCATGTGCATACGTGCATGGATGGGTGGAGTTGTCAAGACACTGATGTACATGAGACCACATCTGCCTGCCCAGTCCCTGCCCTAGGACTGAACAGAAGATGCCAGTCAGTATACGGTGAGTGGGGAGGTGGGCCTGGCATAAACCATCCATATGTCTGTAAGTAATTTTATCTGCAGAAGGAAAAACATCTGCAAAAATATGGAGTGACTTTGATTCTGCCAGTTCTTTTTGTCTATCCCTAACTAGAAAATCATTGCTTCATTTTCACCAGGAAAGATTTCTCTCCACAGAGCAATTGTTACTGCCTCGTATTGCTTGAGTGGAGACAAGTGGTCTTGGATTGAAATCCCTTTCTCTTTTGTCTTCCATGTGGCTCATTTTGTTTCAGTATTTCTAAAGCAAACTTAGCAAAGTTTGCTCAAGATCACACATGAGTTGGAAGAAGCAAATATATTTTCTCGCTTGCTAGCAAAGAAAAGAACCAAGTTCTTACTTATAATGTTGGGAAAACAGTGTGGAAAACAAGAATTAGGGTTACATGTGCTGTCCATCCCTGGCTCTTCCTGGCTCTGCTTTTGTGCAGGCATGGCTGGGCTGTAGGAACTCTGCAATCACATTAGCTGCCCTTACACTCAGGGAAAGGCCAGTGCACTACTTTATAGCAAAGGCCATAAAAGCTGATAATCATATCTCCACAGTTCCCTTGTTTCTCTGTTAGTTTGTGGGGGTGACTATACTACAGACTTGTAAAGTCATCTGTCTTGGTGCTGTCTATGGGGCACACTCCAGCTTATCAGCTAGTGCCTCCCTCCACCCAGACTTGTGTTTATTCCTTTTCTGTGGAAGCTCCATGAACTGATGCTGGAAAAAGTATTATAAAATTGGAAAGTCATATACTAAACTTTCATCTTCTAGTGCCTTTGGACTAGCCAGCTCATTATAGAGACACCACACAATGCAGTAATATGTGCCATTGCTTACAGGAAAGCAGATTGTAGGCACAGGATGTCCAAGGACTGAGGGCACATTATTTTGCACAGAATAGGCCTTCCCTAAACAATCCTCTAGACCTAGAAGAGTGATTGGACAACAGAGGTTTTCAGCTAGACAAGGAATTAGTGGTGATGGCAGGGCCACTTGGTAGGGCTCAATAACACTGCTGCAGGCAAACCCGCCCACATTCCCAACTTCCAGCAATTCCCGGTTTCTGAGCATTGTCATATGCTTTAGAGCACTTGCAGGAAAATCTATCAGCCATTGCTCAAAGCACTTGTCTGTGCAAAGAACAATCAAAAGCTTGTTTGACTGTGTGAACAGGGAGTGCTGGCTCCAAGCTCAGAGCTTCAGATCCCCCAAATATGAAAAATATCTAAAAAGTAATGACAGAGTTTCTAGGATTTTGGCAAAGGCAAAGCATTTTGGTAAAGGCAAAGCTGGTCATGTCTGCGCTCTTATCCTGGGAAGTTGCCTACTTTGCTTGTGCCTGGAGCCATGACTGGCAAAAAGATAATGGATGGATGAATACAAGTTGATTCTGAAAGTACAGGAGATGCTTTCATCAAAATGCAAAGCATATTTTTACTGTGTTTTGACCTGGGGGCATTAGAATGTGAGGTTATATAAAATGTTTTATTAGCATTTTCATGTTTTCTACAAATAGGAAACCCTATTCTCATCCATAAGCTAAAAATAATAAGATGACTATTTGAAGTAACTGTTACTCCCTGACTTCAATTAGCTTCCTCTTGCTACAATGTCCTTATGCCTGTGCTTGTTTCTATTACAAATCTACATAGAATAAGTCAAAATCCACATTTTGAAAGGGTTGGCATGTATTATAGAGACAGCTTAGTCTGGCTATGCTTTATCCTTAATAATATACAAAAATAAAAAATTACTCTTAAATCCACAGTTTCATTAAGTTTGAGGCCAAGAGTAATATCAGACACCCTGAATTCTCACTCAGATCATGCAGATCCAAGGGCATGCGTGCCTTCAGCTAGACTAATACATTTGGAGACCTGAGAGCAAGCTCTAGATACTTAAAGGGTAGTTAAAATGATAACAGAGCCAGATATTTCTCAGTAGTGGCAGACACTGACAAGGGGCAGCAGCCACAAACTGGGGTGTGGGAGGTTCAGGTGTGGGAAAAAGTCTTTTCCACAAAGACTGCTGTTTGCAGACTGCGCATAACTTTGAGACACATTCCTTTGTGAGGAACCTTCCTCAGAGGTTTTCAAGACTTCACAAAGAAAAGTCATGTCTGAACTGGCCCAGTGTCAGTGACAGTCCCACTTTGTGCAGGTGGGGGGTTTAAAAGACCTCTAGAGGTCTTATCCAACTAGAATTTTGATGATTCTGGGAAACCGCTTAATGCCACAGACTGGAAAATAAAGATATTAAAGATACCCTCAGAACTACTCATGGCAGCAATCTGATTAGGTGAAACATGGCAGACATTAGACAAACAACACTCCCTGCGCCAACAACAGGTTAAAAAAGAAAAAAAGTTAGTGAGGAATTCAATGCTCTACTGATCTCTTCAATGGATTTACTGAAGAAAGACATTTTGGCTTAAGAAATCATTTCATCTTCACACATACACTGTAAATACATAACCACCCACACAAAGCTGAAAGCGTTCTTTCAAAATGCTAATATTTACAAATTTTGCAAAACAAAATTGAGGATAGTTGGTAAATGTATTAATTTTTCTCTACCATGTGGTATGTTTTGAAAAAATGCTGAGACATCCTGCTTTTCATTTCTGAAAGCATAATTTCATGCTATACCCAGGTTTATGCCAGTCTCTTTGACAACAATGAGCTTCAGAAGGCAAGTATGAAAAGCTGCATCTAGCAATTACCTACAGTAAATGCAGGAAGAGCTAAAATAGACCAACAAAACTCAGGGAATTCATTTTAAGAGCTAGCTTTCAGCATAAGCATAAATTTGAGAAGTGTGACTATAATTTTTGACATATTAATTGGTTTACTACCATGCTTTTGACCATTCAGGTACCACATTAAGTGTGACTGTAGACGGCA